CACCAACAGGATTTAGGGTCTGATCATGTGTTTGGGAAAGGCTATTGATGTGGAAGGGAAGAGTGATAAATGGTTGCTGAGCTGACCATATCAAAGGATTATTTTTGCTCTCCCAACTCTTGTGGGCTTTGCTGCCAGATTTCCTGTCCAAATTAGGAAGGCAAAGTTCTAACTTCTGAATTATTTTTCTGGAATTGTACCGTTGGCACAAATCAAGGAGAATGAAATCCTCCATTTCCAGTGTCAAATTATTTACACAAAACAGCTCCTTCTAGAGCAACTGAGCCAGATCATCAGCTTGGTGCCGTTTGCATTGTGCACATACGGTTCACAAGCCCAAGACATCTGAAATTCTAATATTTGGACTCTTTTGCCAGCTCTGAAGTACCTTTTCCGAGCCTCGGAGCTGCACAGGATACCTTCCACACTTAATCAGCCTAGGCACTAGAAGGATGAGCCACCTAGCACAACTTCGGCAGCCTTTAGACTACTCTAAATTATACTGGGAGCATCTGGTGCTTCCCTGTTTCAGGCTTCTCTGAACCTCCTGGTTCAGAGCTCAACAAGGTTTAGATAAAGCCACCTTGCTTTTTCCTGCTTGTGCCACAGGCTTCATTAGGCATAGTGCTGGCATCATATATGAAGAGCAAGAGAGGGCTCCTCTTCAAATCAGCTCTCACTGGTAGCTGCAATTATGAACTTGAAGTTGTTGTTGATCTTCCATTGCTTGTAAAAGTGATTTCAGGGTTTATGAGGCTTCACAGCTCAAACAAAACAATGTGAGTAATATCAGAAGAAAACTATATTTAATAAAGCATACCATTTTTACTGAAAATTAATCAATATGCATTGACAGATGAGGATTTTATATGGGATGTTTTCCTCACTTCCCTCCATATCAGGTTTCAGGTCACGTTCAGCTGCTCACGTCAAACACTGACATGCACAAAAAACTGCAAGAGGAAGGGAATTGGGGTTTTGGAAAGACTAACTATTAAGTTCTTTAAATTGTTGAGTCGAAATACGGAATGCGTATTTTAAATACTCATGCATCAATATGGACCTAGCTCCCATTACACTCTCCTAAGCTGAAGCTGAACCTTAGAACTGTGCAAAAGGGTCCACACAAAAATTGTAGATCAAATAGCATTACAATTGAAATGTGATGTTGGCAGAGACAAGACAGAACTAATTTAATTTTTCCTGTCAGTCTCTGTAGTAGATCAATTAAACTGCCAAGTGGATCAAATATTTCAGACTGTATTTATTACATTAAGTATTTATGTTCAGGCTAAGCCTTTAAAGTATGATCTCATATAGGAATACAAGGAAGTTTAGATCAATTCAGCAGAATTTGCTGTAAGATAATGGAAATCTAATTGCGTATTTTAATTTTGTGTACAAGAGTCAGTAAGTTCTTGAAAGAAGGAAAGCAGTTCTCTGTTTGCATTGTAGCAACCCGGTACAAATTCCACTAAAGTGTTAGAAGACTGTCGTAGACATTAGTGGAAGCTAGATCAGGCTCTAGGGCTAAAGGCCTAACCCTCACTGATTTTAGTGGGGGTCAGGTGCCTGGACTCCTCTGAGGAGCCCGAGTACCTGGAACAATTCCCTCCTTCCCAGCTGGGGTCCACAGGCTCAGTTACAGCAGTAAGATGTGAGAAAACATTGATGTCTGCTGTATGTGAACGCATCTTTCTTGGGGAAGCTCATATCCCTGTCCATCGTGGACTGACTGTCAGGCAGGTGGAAACCATGGGCTCCTGATTCTCATATCATTTGTCCTGGCTTTCATACCAGCAAAGTCTGATAGATTTCACTGGGCTTACTGCCCACAAACACAGGCAGTTACAAAGTAGATTCATTCCTCCTTTTACAGTAAAAAGACACAGGGTTAAATCCTACTTTCCTGTACTCTAGCAGGACCCTGGAGCAAATTACACTGGTTACTCTACATTTATTCGTGTGTGAGCCGTTGTTTGCAAGCATTTTAACCTCAGTGAAAATGAAATGAATGGTTAATGGGTGAATTATTACCAGAGATATCCTAGTCTCCACCACAGGTAACGGTGCTGCCTCAGGTTACAGAGCTACTGGGTCTAATTATTAAGCAAAGACCTTAGATTGGTGCTGAAGACTGATAAATATTTTATCCCTCTCTAACCATGGGATGAAAATTGTTCTCAGGGGATAGAAGCAATTCCTACTTTTCTGAAAATGGGAAGACTCTTCTTCCCACCTCCCATTCAGCCAGCAGTATCTGTGCTAGGTGTCTGTGTTAGGTACTACAGATGGGAGCTGAACAGCCACATTAGAAAAAATGGCTCAGTTTTTGTGAGAAAGCAGCAATGCAAAGACAGCTGATGCACAGACAGGCCTCTATGTTTCCCTGTTTCAGAGCCTAATTTTAAGTTAGTGAGGCTTAACAGAAGGGAGAAAACTAACCAAGTGTGGCTTCTGCAGCTGAAAAACCTCTGCAAGTACCAACCTCTTGCTCTTCCCCCTATTTTTAAAACAGTGGCTGTCCAGCAGCCCTGAAGTGGCTATATTTCAACAGGGCAAAAAATGTCTTTATGAACGTGGCTGGAGGTGACAAGAACTGTATGTTGTGTTACTGAATGGATTCTTCTTTTAAACTGTCCTTCTGTCATGCTCAAAGTAGCACTCTGATGCTTAAATTAGCCACAGAATTCAACATTGAGCTTCCTAATGTTAAAAACAAAAAAAATTGAGGCTTTTAGTCAAGTAGTAAAATTTGCATGTGGGATCCATCTGAATGCCTGGACCTGTGGTAATGTTGCTTTGGTGATCATATGCTCTGTCAGAGGAGAATTACAGGAGTAACAAAGACTTTTCAACTATATTAATAACTCATCCCTTGTAGATTCTGTTTTCTAAAATGCAAGAAGTATTTTCCCCGAACCTGCAATCTGCTAGTGTCCAACAACTGCTAGGGAGAAGTCTTGCTAACATCCTAAAGCTAAACACATATCTGCCTTCCTTCCTAGCAGACAGGTGCTGACCCGTTACTACCAACTGCAGAAGTATAAAAGAAAGCGTACCTGCTCCCTGCAGGTTATTAGTTCCATCACTTAGTCATGAGCCATTTAACTCAAATATTAACTGCAGGAATTAAAGCAAGTCCTTGGCTTGGAAAGATCAGAGGAAGACATTGCCTCGGGTCAGGTTGCGTTCTGCCAGGCTGTTTCCTATTGGGGGGTAGCAGCAAAGGACGAGCTTTTGACAGGGGTAAAGAAGAGGATGTGGATTTGTGGGGCGTTTGTTTGCCCCCTGGGAGGAAGGACAACCCCCTAAATTTCTCATCAAAGGGCAATTCAAAGTGGTAGCCCAGCCATCCTGCCCTGCCTCTCCTCCCCACTCCTCTTACACGTTCTCCTCCATTTGACAGATGCATCTGTGCTAGGTAGTACCATGGTGGCTTTTTGGAGGGACTGCATGTCTTGCTCGTGGGTCAACCTGGACTTCCAGGAGGGCTTGTTTGGGAACCATCCCAAGTCCCAGTGTTGTCACAGACTGAGCTAGAGGAAGAGCTTGCAGGGTCCAGCTCAGGAAGATAGCTTTAAGTAGTGGAGTACAGGGAAACTTTTTCATTTAGATGGAGAAGAGTACCCATTTCACCCTGTCTCCAGTGCTTTATTGCCTGCTTGAGACAGCCTGTGTATCTCAGGTGCCAGGTAGATATGGTCTAGTGCATCCCTCCTGCTGGGACTCCAGGCTGCGGTCCATGGCAGTAGCTCTAGGTGGCCTTGGATCACTTCTGGAGGCCCCAGTCTTCAAGGTGGCATTGCTAGGCAAGCCCAGAGGTGGGGACAGGTAAAGGTGCAACAGCCTCCTGTAGGTAAATATATGCCAGTGATTGGCGGGGGCCTAGCCAAGGAAATGTCAAGAAGTCATGCAGGGCTGGATGCAGCTCAAATACAGATTCTGGTATTGCTCAGTAATTCCCACCTTATGTTACCACATGAAGTCAATGAAAGGTCCCTATGCTGGACAAGAAAAATGTACTTAGAAGAAGATAGGTTGCTGAACCAATTTGTTCGAAAGCTGCTGCCTTGCTTTTCATCCCAGTTCTCAACTGGAGAAGATGTGATATCTTATTCAAGGCTTTGAGCTTTTCACAGGGAGTGAGGGGAAAGTACTTGTGCTATCTCATAGCTCAGCTGGGGTGATCTCACAGCCCTTTCTGCCCTGAAAATCTAAGGCTTTTCAGAAAAATATGTTAGTCAGGCAAAACCAAATTTGCTCCTTTGCCTTGCAGCCATAGGCAGAACTAGCAGAATTATGCAGCAAGAGATTTCACAGGTATTTCCAACCCCTTGTTTTAACAGTTAATCCAGCTCAAATGAGCTTCCACTCCAGTATCTCATAGTGAGATGGGAGAAGATGATTAGTTTCTGCATAGTTATAACTAGGGTATTTTCACCTTTCTCTCTGCAGTAACCTTTCAGGTGCAGGTAAGTGGTGGGAGTCCCACATCCCCTTGAAGAGGGCTTTGCCCAGATTGATCATGCATCACTTTCCTGGGGGAAGGCATGGGACCACCTCCAAGGTGTGGCTGATGGTAGCCACAGGGCAGCAGCTCGGGACAGGAACTGGGAACCAGCCCAGCCTGGTTTGTGGTGAAACCTGATGTGATCTGAACTTCATTACTTGTTTCTGAGTCTGCTGTCCTAATTCACTCCCTTTGTCGCCCGAATGACTGTGTGTTTCAGCAGAGCAGAATCTGGCTCTTCTAGCCTCGATCTAGTAAACAGCTACATGCCTACTAAAGGTATGGAGAGGGGGTTTACGCCAGCCAAGACCCAACCCCATCTCTGCCCTCTGTGGAGTGAAAGGCAATGATGTGGAGCACGACTTGCTCCCAGCAACTCATCAGCAGGCATGAGTTGTCCCAGCCAAGTCAGGGGACAGTCTCCCCTTGTCGCTGGGACCCTCCCCTTGTGTGGCAGTGACGGTACCTTGTCTCCTTCCTCCCACAGGGAGCCCGCTGTGCTCGTGCTGCGTTCCTGACCCCATGGGCCTCTCCTTCCTGCCCACATATGGCTGCCAAAGCAACCGCACTGCCAGTGTGGCTGCGCTGCGCATGAAAGCGCGGGAACACTCGGAGGCCGTGCTGCAGTCTGCTAACCTCCTGCCAGCCACCAGCAGCAGCCCCGCTCCACCAGCCAGCCCCAGCCCGGAGAGCAGCCCGGACAAGCAGCCCTCTCCGGCCAAGGAACACATGGACGCGGAGAAGAGCGTATGAGGCTGGGCCAGCGCCAGCCCCTCGGCTCGGTGTGAGGACCCCACTGCAGGGGCTTGCCACGGGGGGAGCTGCAGCGCAGCCCTGCCCCAGCCAGCTGTCATGGGGCCGCTGGGGACCCTGGGGATCCACAGCAAATCTGAGCTGCCTTTCCAGCTGCCTTCCACACGTCCCTGCTCTTCTTGCACCGCTGTAGATTCATTTCCTTGATTTACTGGCACCGTCTGTGTTTGGAAACGTTTGTGAAACTGTTTTTAGCCTCCTTGCATCCCAGTGACATCAAAACGAGGGCTTGCTCCCTCTCATCTCAGCTGCACTCTCCAGGGTTGCTTTTACCAGCAGCAGGATTGAGCCCAAATACCACTGGGGCGGTGTCCCATGTAGGCCAGGCTTTGACCTGCTTGGACCTGGACCTAGGACAACCTCTGCGCGCTGTTGGACACTGGCGCAGTGCTGCTGGCAGCACAGATGCACTGCTGATCTCCTCGGCAGGTCCTCTCTGCAGCGGGGCAGCATGCTGCCTCCAGCAGCCGACCTGCCTCTGCCTGTGGCCCCAGCATCATGGGTCCCCTTCCCGGGCGGAGACAGGGGGCTGGGAGCAGGGCTGCGCTTCCAGACTTGTGCTTGGGGGAAGGAGAGGCCTCCGAGACTCTTTTACCACCGCTGCGCACAGCAGGTGTGAATGAATATGCTGGTATATACTGCTTGCACCTGCTGTTTTCCATTTGACTTCCACCAAATCTATCCCAGACAAGCCAGGTCTAAGGAAGCAGAAAATAGAATGAAAATCAGTATAATTTTCCTTCTCCCTTTTTTTCCCCTAAAAATCGAACTGTCCACGGAGTAAATTACTGCAAAATTACTGAGATCAGTTTACCTGTGAATAAAATCCTTGCACTAGTCTCAATGTGAACGTTAGTTTGTTACACTTGCCGTTCCCTGGGTTAGATATAAAAGATCCATGTGATTCCAGAGCAGCGTTCATAGCTTCAAATGGTAATGTTGGTATTTAACGGAAAGTGCAGTTACGTCTTGATCTGCACAAAGTTGGGGGTATTTTAGCATCATTCTCTGATCTTTGAAAAAGTTCTTTAAAAAAAAAATCCATGACATTTTGGAAACACATTTGGAAAGAAAGACTAGAAACCGAAAATATGTTGCGACATTGCAAATATGTATTTGCATGTTGTGTTTTTAATAAAGATGAAATAAAACTTGGAAGGATATTCTTTCATTCCATCCAAAAGTAGACTGTTCCATTTACTGAAAGCTTGTTGTTTAATAAATGTAGACATGAAAATGTTCTAATTATTTGACAATAGGCACAATGCGAAGCTGAAATTGATGCCTCAGGAAATATACTCTCTTTTCCAATCCAAAACTCCCCAGCGCAGAGTAAGCAGGTGTCTTAGTCTGGGGTGCGCCACATTTTGCCCATGAGTAATGCAGACACGGGTTTGAGCTTGCTAACATCGAATTGTTTTTTACAGTTGCCTCTTGCAGACTCCTTAGAGTTGTCCACAGCTGTCCCTGGAGAACAGACCGGCACCACAGCTCACAGACTTGCCCAAATAATGTGGAAGCCAGTAGAAAGGTTTCTGTGAGCTCCAAAGGTCTTCAGAGCAGGTCCATCATGAGAAAAGTGCCCTATTCCAAATGAGATGCTCTCCTTCACAGCCCTAGAAGTTGTGCTGTTTAACCGACGGGCAGATTTCGGCACAGAAGCTCAGCTGACAGAGCCCGTAGGCTTTCATCACCAGCCCAAGCTTTTCTGCTGCTCGTTTGGGGCTGATCCTGTGTGCTGTGCTGAGGACCTCCTGCAACATGCTACGCGTACACTTTTATACTGGGTTGTGCTCAGTTTCTCACAGGATCTGGGCTCAAGGATGTGCTCGGAAAGGCAGTCCCAAGTCAGTTTGGCAGTGAAAAGGTCTCCCCATCCCCAAGTGACCTCAGCCCACGAATTTCTTGGGACTGGAACACAGGACTTGTCTGGGGCTCACAGCACCCACGTGCCCCGGTGCACAGTGTCCTTTCCCCAGGGCAGGGTGTGTATCAGTGCACTCTGGGAGGGAGGAACCAGCAGCCCTGGACTCCAGGAGGCCTGGCAGCCCCTGCGTAGGGGCGTCATTTCCTCTTGGCATCAGCAATCCAAGCACAGAGGAAATTCCGGCAGGGCCCGCACCCATTGACAGAGTCCTTTTGCTTTACATTTACCCCAGTGTGTATTTCTTCTGGCAATCCTGAAGTGTCCTAATTGCAGGGGGAACATGCAGTAGCCTGTGATCCTTCTTTGTATGCCAGCTTCAGGAGCTGCTCTGCTCAACTGTAAATGGAGACCGTTTCCCTAACTGCAAATTATGGCTTAGTTTAAACAACAGAAACAACCTTTTTAGTCCACCAAAATAAAATAGATTGGGGGGGGGTGCAGATGCAGAAGAGAGAATCACTATTTTCTTAGTGATCTTTCCAAACATGATTTTTTGTCTAGATTTCCATGCCCCCTCCAAAAAAGGTGGGAAAAAAAAAATCACTCCAAATAGGCAGGCTCAACTTCATTTCAACATAATTACCTTGCATTCAGTTGAACTTCAGCCCTTCTGTACACTAACTCTTCAATCTAATTGTTTGATTAAACTCGTATTTCCTCCAGAAAGGTACATAAATAAGTGAATTGTTGAGCAAATTAAGAATACTTAACAGCATTGCATCTGAAAAGTAGTTACGCTGATTAAATTTTCTGTCCTTGAGGATTTTCAGGAAATTACTTTTGATCGTCAATAACACAATTAAGTAAACTACACGCACATTAGCATGAATAATTGATAAGAAATTATGTATTACCACGAAGCACTGATTTAATAATTCATGATGCGACACTCTAGTGACTGTGCAAAACTGGATAACATTGACAAGTCTGCCTGATGTTGCTGGAAATGCTGCAATTACAAACAGGTCCATAGCTTTGTTGTACAATAAAGAAAAGTAACTGATGCATGCTGTACTTTCTGTTTGTTTAATACATGAATAAATTTAGAAAGAACACCCTGAAAAGTTCCGGTACTGTTTTCATTCAGATCAATGTTTCCATCCAAGCATCTGCTCTCACACCAATGACTGTCCACTTTTGCTCAGACCACAAGGATGTGGCAAAACATGGGAGGCTCTCAGATTCACAGCTAAGACCTGGGGCTCTTGCAGCTTGGAAGATTAGGGGGGCTCAGAGTTTTGCAAAGCTGCCTGTTAGGCCCGAAGCTGCACTAGCCTCCTCAGAAGCATGAGCCTTAAGCCTTTTTGACTCTTCAGTGTCTGATGCATCCATGATTAAAATTGCTCAGTATGATCTTGTTCGTGGTTGCTCTGGTCAGCAGTGCACAACGTATTTGCATTTGCCTTTTTTTTGAGTCTGCACAATGCTGTGTTAAATCTTAGGCCAATTCACCAACAAATCTTGCAACTTCCCTAGGGGAGGCAGATATATGTTTGTATCCTCGTTACCATGCTGAGGAAACCGAGGCATGATGAGTCACATTCTCCTCTCAAATTTTGGTCTGAGACTCGGCTGTTCAGGGCAGTGCAGCCCGCAGAAACTTGCTCGAGGTCACAGAGCAGCTGAACAAGGACAAGAACAAAACTCAAGAGATCTGCATCTCAAGTCCTCCCCTCTTCCAGCCACCAGAGCTACCAGATACACAGCCCTCTGTGACTGAGCCACCTGCCTGCCTTCTGTGCTATCATATATCAGGGCTATGCCACTTTTAAACCAATCCTATAATGGCCATCTCAGTAGCTCTGATTAAGTCTGGCATTTAAAAGTTTATAACTCAGCTATAAAAAGTCACTCAGGCTGAACCCCAGTCTGAGATGCCCAAGCCCAAGGGGATGATTTACATGCAAGCGATTCCAAAATCAGCCTGGGTGATATTTTTTCAGTTCTATGAAGGAAAAAACGGAAGCCCAAGATTTGAGGGATGGATATGAGACAAAGATATTTTTTGCTTAACGACTTACTTCATTTGTCACTAGATCTCATGCAGTAATTCTCTGTGAATTTCCATACTAGCACGAGCCAGGTGCAGTTTCAACAGTCTCTGTGCAAATGTCACTTACATAATTTTTGGCAAAGTGTCTCCAGTCCTGGGCTCCTCTCACAAGCAGATACAGACATCAGATGCACATCTCTAAACAGATTTTTTTTCCTCATCCTTCCACCTTCCGAGCAGGGCCCATCTCCCAGCATAGTCACTCCCCGCTCTGTGGTGATCCCGCAGCCTTGTGGCCCAGGCTCCCGCTGGCTCTGTGCCCTGGCATGCCTTCCCCGTCCTGCCGTCCTCCCTGACCCTGAGCTCTGCCCCTGCCCCATGGCCCCAGCACAGGGGTGGCTATGGGCGGAGCCCAGTGAGGGTATTGGTGCTCATAGCTTGTGGCGCACAGTTATTCCTGCTTGTTGATGGAGGTCGATACACTATGCTAGGCCATAAGACCTTCTTTATAAGGTTGTGCATCATCCTCTCAACCTTCCATGTGGCTTTACTTTTGCACATCTATTTAGGCTGCTTTGTGCCTATATACGTTACAGTGCGAAATGTGAGGCAGAGAACACACCTTTTCTCAGTTATGCCGCAGGCTAGTGCTTCTTACACTGCATGCTGGATAATAATGAGATTGTTAGGCTAATTGGCTCTTTATTAAGAATATTATTTACAATGATGCTGAAGACCATGTACATGCAGAATAAGTCAGTGGTACATTACGAGCCAGCCTCCTGGGCAGCTTCCAGAGGACCCCCCCCCCCCCCCCCCCAACAA